GCACCCGGCTCCTCTCATCTGGCAGGCAGTTTGGGAGCTCGCCTGCACCCCTGGGAGGGCTGTGCTGAAGTCCTCCCAGGGGTGCAGGCCCCCAATCTGCCTGCCAGATGACAGAACGATGCTGGGCACAGCCCACACCCAACACCAGGAAGGTGCTGCTGCTGGCCCCAGGCAGCAGTGCCCAGCTCCTGTCACCTGGCAGGCAGATTGGGGGCACACACGCCTGGGAGGACTCAAGCACAGCCTCCGCAGCCCCACCAGGGGTGCGGGTGGGTCCCCATCTGCCTGCCGGCTGACAGGAGCCAGGTGCTGCCAGCCTGAGACCAGCTGGGCCAGGGCAGATCAGCTCAGCTCATGTGGGGCCCCGCCACCCCGATCCCGGCAGCACTTTTTGTACTTGCTGTAGTTGGGAGATAACCTACTTCTGCTGTGTGCAATCTCAGATGTACTGGGTCTGATTCTTCTTTGGGGCTCCAACCTCCCCTACACCCCATCCTAGTGCCACCCAGTTGATATTGTGCCTGTTGTCCTGGGTCTCTAGGACCGTTCCTCTTCTGTTCTTTACTCCTCCATACCTTGGCTGTCTTGAGCCTGGTTTACCAGGGCCATGACTCAGCTGGTCCTCCGATCACTTGGTCAGGCTTGAGTCATGAAGAAGGAACAACGGACACTCAGCTTGGAAGGAAATTCAGGTAAATCCCACCCGAGGGTGCCTACTGGGACCAGCTGTGTCCCCGGTTCTCGTGTCTATAAAGTATCAGCTAATCCTGGGCCAGTGGCCCTCCCAAAAGAAAATAGGAAAGAAAAGAACTGGGCGAGCCTTCCTGGCCTCCTTCACCCTCTGCTGGGGAGATTACTACTCCTTAGATGGTTTGACGTCTCCCAATCAAAAACCTTCACAGGTCATGCCACTTTCCCTGGCGTGGCAGGTTTGTCCACTCGCTCCTCCAGCTTAACTCCGATTGGCTCTTTAATGCCTGTTCCCTTGCTGACTTGCCTCAGCTGCCTCTGGCTTCTTTCTCTCTCCCCTCTCTCAGAGATACAGCCCTGTTCCCTGGGGAGAATCGACAAAGAACAAAAGAAAAAAACAATAGTAAACTTAACTGCAAGAGCGTTGTAGTGCCAGCTTCTTCAGGTTATGCCTTCCCTCAGCATGTCTCGCAACCAGCATTGCCTGCTCCTGCAGCATTCATCCCAGAGAGCTTCAGTAGCAGAGCCCCTCCGGGCTCTCGAGGACCCTCTCTACCTGCTCCTCAGGATCAAAGGATTCTCTTTGAGTGTCCTGGTGTTCCTGACCCTCCTCCGTTGTCCGGCACCCATCTCTTCCTTCCCCTGGCCCTAGCAGTGGGCCAGAAATAGCCACACTGCCATGGGCAGGGCTGATCCTGATTGAGCAGCTGCTGACAAAGCATCGCAGCTGCCGGTCTTTTCTTGATGTCAGTTCCAGTGGGACCAGTGAGTTCTCCCCCATTATGAACTCAGGAGAGTTTTCCTTCACTCTTTTACACTATGCTCCATCACCCCAGGGAACGAGGTGTTGTGCACAAGGCAGGCATTGTCCTCATCAGCTGCATGAAAGTTGGTGGCCCAGTCATGCCCCAGACACCCGAGTTGTGTCTGTGTGTCTGCAGGTGCACATGCATACACATGTGCATATGTGTGCATCCAGGATGCCTGGGTTCTACATGTATGTGTGTGTACACACATGGGATGGACACATACATGCAGAACCCAAGTGTCTTATGCACATGCACAAACACTTGGTGGGTGCAGGGCATGCTGAATGGGCATGCAGGTGGGCTCATGGCCATGAGGATGCGTGCCATGATAATCCACTGTCACATCAGACCCAGGTTGGCTGGCAGGGACATCACAGCCGTCCATCAGGGCAGCTCAGCCATTCGGCTCCACTCAGAAGTCTTTGGAGGTCTGGGGAGCCTGCAGGGCATGATAGGAGGCATGCAAGAGCCCCACCACGACCACCACTGAAAAGTAAACTCGAAATTTAGGCCACTTCTGCTGTGGGCTTCTTCAGTGGTGACACATAGTGGGTGCATGTGACCAGCCACGCTTGCTGCTTAGGTGATGGGCGGAGGGGGGGCAGGCAGGAGTGCCAGTGCCCCCCTGCAAGCGCCGGCCGATCACTGCAGCTGCTTCTGGGAGCAGCTGTAGTGATCGGCCGGCACTTGCTACCAGAAGCAGCCGCAGCCACTCCCACCAGAAGCAGTTGCAGCGATCACAAAAATCGGCTGCTGCAGGATCACCCAGGGGGACATTCGCTTGGTCCACGGGATTGCCTGCAGGCTTCTTGAATGCCTGTACTAAGCCAAAAGCATTAAGATATTAGGAGGGCCAACTTTAGACCCATTATTATGGTACTAAAGGAAGTAATTGCACTTAAGTTAGGTAAATATCAACTGTAAGAGATATTCCCATTACTATATCAATAACCCTCTGAATAATATAAAAATAAGCTTTTATACTTTCTAATGGCAACAATACAGCCTCTTGTTGCATTTAAAGGGGTATAATTCAACTGAACTTTCCCAGAGTACTTAGCTACTTCAGTTTGGCCCAACAGCTGTGAAAAAGACTTCTGAGAGCTGTAATTATTGTAGAGATTATTAAAATGCATTGATGCACCTGAAAACAAGACTAGACTATTCCAAGAACGACTAGCCAGACAGTATTAGCATAGCAAAACTAACAGACATACAAACTGTAGGCAAAAGGTCTTCAGAAAGCAGAAGAGATGGCTACCATTTCCGCCCCCCTAAATCTCCTTCCACAAAGTAATCCAGAATTGATTTTGTCCAGGAGAGTGGGGGAGGAAGAAAAGAAAACCTTGATGAATTATTCAACAAGTGAGCCTTCCATTAGATGCAACACATATTTTGTTTTCAACAGAAATCAAAGTAACCAGATGCTACTTCAGATGAGAGACTGGCTCGCCACATGCAATTTGTGCATATATCCGAGTTCCAGCAAATTTGGTTTGCTAAGATACCAAAAGTCTTATCATGCCCCTTTCTAAGCTAAGTACAGATAGTCAAAAAGTCTGAGGCCGAATCAATTCAGTCTTTGCAGGTTAGTCTAAACTGTGTACATTGAACCAGAAAGCAACTGAACAGACATTCACTTTTGATTCCAAAAATTCAGTCACATGCCTGCAGTGGCTCAAGCCAGAAGCCATGGCACTAGAGCATGACTCCCTGCTCATCTGGGGACCAGGACTAGCCCACCCACCCTGCAGGAGGTGGGGAGAGGGCAGTGTTCAGGAAAAGTGCAAAGCATCCTGGGATGCTGAGGGATTGTGAATTCATTGGAATCTGGATGGGATCTGGGACAGAAATTTAATAACTGATTTAAATTAAAATCAGTTAAAACTGATACTACATCCATCCAGGTTTATCTTAAACCAGTTTGGGCCATTTTGAAAGTGGTTATATGCACTGAACTTCTGTTATGTTACAGAGTTAAACCAGTTCCCGATCACTTAAAACAGTTTATGTGTAATTTCTGTCCCTAGCTTTAGCGATGATCGCCACCAGGCTGACAGAGCTAATCAAACACTGGCATGCCTCTACCGAGGCATCCTGAGCTAAGCTAAAGATGTCATCCTCCCACTCTACTTGGCCTCGGTGAGACCACAGCTGGAGTACTGTGTCCAGTTCTGGGCGCCGCACTTCAGGAAGCATGTGGAGAAGCTCAAGAGAGTCCAAAGGAGGGCCACACACATGATTAGAGACCATGAGGAGAGGCTGAGGGACTGTTCAGCCTGGAGAAGACAAGACTCAGAGGGGACTTGGTGGCAGCCTATAAGTATATCAGGGAGTACATCAGGGCCTGGGGGAGCAACTATTCACCAAGGTCCCCCAGGGGAGGACTAGAAATAATGGGCACAAGCTGATTGAAGATCGCTTCAGACTAGACATAAGGAAAAATTTCTTTACCAGTCGAGTGCTAAGGGCTTGGAATAGGCTACCCTCAAAGGTGGTACCTTGGCGATCTTCAAAAAGCATCTTGATGCCCCTCTTCCTGTGGTCATCTGACCCCAGCAATCTTCCCTGCCCGAGTGCAGGGGGGCTGGACCTGATGATCTGTAAGGTCCCTTCCAGCCCCTAAAAACTATGAACATTTTAGTCATTTCACTATTCTTGATTCACTTTCAAATTGTTTCTTCAAGCTTTTCTAATATGAGAAGTTGAGAAAGAAATAAATTAGGTCTTTGGGTCTGTATTCCAATGATCATCTCACATGTGTCACACGCCCAGCAGCATACGTTTCTGAAGGATTTCCTCCATTCTTAATACTGGGCAAATATTTTACTCTTTCCAGGTCACTGGCCAAAACAAAACTTCGAAAAAGAAAATTCACTTAATTTCAAACTGAAACAATTTTGGTTTTTTCCTCCTGAAACAAGAAGCCTAATCATTTCCAGGCCAGTTACCTGTTTAAAATTTAAATTTTATATAAACTTTTAAAATGAAATGAGATTTCAAGATAGTGAAAGTAAACAATATTTCAGTTCTCTCTTTCCATTTGTCAGATGGGATAATTCAATGAAAATTGTCTCAATTTTGTGAATATAAGGTCAATTGAACCAAATATGCATTTTTAGCCAAAAAAAGTTTTGAAAATGTCAACCCTACTGTTTCTAACTATTCCTTAGCCATCTGAATCTTCCCACTACTTCAAGACATAAACCATGAAAAAAAAATCTTTTAAAAATCACCAAAAATGTTAAACCAGTCATTCAAAACTACATAATGACTTAATTTACACCTAATAGAAAATAGTAACTCTACTCTAAACCCCTTTCACACAGAGAAATCCAAAAAATGCATGCTGAAATGTTGAATTTCTGTTGTGTGGGTACAGCAATAATAAATTAACACTTCTGTCAAGATATATATACTACTTTAATACCCAAATTGTTTTAGGTTAAAATGCATACATTTCAAATACACAGGAATTCTGCATCAATTATTTATGGCTACCATAGAAAAATCCTATTGAAGCAGGGATCACCTAGTAGACAAGAAGTTTTAATTACGCTGCAGCACTTAACACGGGTGACATCAGAGCTTTTCCTGAACTTCATATCAATGTATTTCTATCTTTCAACCTCCATAGCAAATTCCTTAAGGAAGCAAATGGCAACTTTAAACTTCACATCTTAATGATAGTGCCGTCCTCAAACAACATCAGAAGCCTTGTCATTAGACCTTAGTAAAACCAGGAGATTCAGTCCAAGCAGAAAAAGCTATTAGTTGCCCATTTGCCAGAAGATAAATAACACCTTTACACTAAAATCCGTGTCAGTTCAGACAGTGAAAATAGTGATACTTAGCAGTGCCAGTGTGCAGACTCTTGGCATGTGCAGGGAGGGTCCTGGCAACTAGTAGTTATCATATTTCCAGGTTCCAAGCGACAAATCACGATTGTTCTAGGAAAGCAAGTCCATGCTCCTCTCGCCCAATTACATTTCACGGAGGAAATTATTTGGAAGGCGCCACACAGCAAGTGCCGTCTCCTCTCCTCCAGGCCAGTTCATAATTCCCCTCTCCTCAAGCCTTCTGCCCAGGTGAGTGGCTGCTCTCAAGGGCTCAAAGTGGTCCAGCTTTTTGAGAGCAGAATGACTATTTGCAGATGCAGGTACCTGAACAGATTTCATTATAATTGTGTACAGGAATGTGAAAGCCAAACTGGAGAAGACATTTAAAGATTTGCAACCGAAACTTCACACCACACGTCATTTAACATTCAAACGTTTCAGTGTGGTCCAAAGTTAAGAACCGTGTTACTGTCTTGTAGTCGTGAACAGAAGGATACAACTGTTGCACCAATTTCCAACAGCGTTTTCAGAGCTACTAAGAGTGAAAGTTTCTCTGACTCAAGCTTGCTCCTGTAGTAAACCGAGGACACCTTTGCATGTGTCTAGACAGTGCCATCTCTAGACTCTTGGCAGCTCCGGGCGAACTTTTAGTATTGGGGCCCCCCTTTGCCAGAGATAATGATTTTTTTTGTTGTTGCAGAAGTCTCTATCACATCCGTGGTATCGATGTCTTTAAATACGCCGTCCTCAATTGATAACATTGCCAGTTCCACATATGTGCAATATTAACACTTTGTTTTGCAATTCTAATTCTTTTTTTTCATTTTCGGGCCCCCTTTCTGTCTGGCACCTGGGCGGCTGCCCAGTTCACCCATGCCTGTGTTTGGATCTGTGTCGAGACTGTGGACTACAGTGCCATGAGAGAGACCCAACCTAGCTTTCAGTCTGCTAGCTCTCAGTTGCCAATTCATCTATAGCAGCACGTTGTTCCACACAGGCTCTGTTCTGCCGTGGCTTGCCTTCTTCTGGTATCTGAGCTAGTTCATTTAAAGCCAGCTGGGATCTGTCTGCAACGTAAACATACCCAAATGAATAGCTTTTAATCAGACCTCAATGCAAGCCAAAAGTCCCCCCAAACCTTGTGGAAAGTCTAGACCCGAAGGAATTTAGCAAGGTTTGATGTTATTTTGGGGGCAGGCAGAAGTACCCTGAAGAAGCCACACAGGACCCTGGGCTTACTACACCTCCGTTACTACTACCTGGAAAGCTACTTTCCCAATTTTAGCTTCTCGCTCTCTGAAAAGAGGCAGGACGTTGGATTTGGATGGTAGCAGACTCCAAGAAGGTCCAGATGGATTTTAAATACTGGCTACAATTCAGAGAACAACGTCTGGCACACGATATTCCTCCGTGTATCACCAGGTGGCTGGAGCAGCTAGTAACTAAATGTTTTTGCTTTTCAATGGCTGCTCAGGCATCTACCCAGGGCAAATCTATCGTGATTTCAATTAGCATCCTAACAGACAGTTGCCCCCACCACAAATGAAGCTCTATGGTATGCTGTTGGCACAATCACCATAAAAATTGAAGACTCAGCAGGCACAGATACTGAATTATACTCTCAGCCTTATCGGAGGTGCATCCAACTCCAAGCTGACAAAGCAAAGTGAGACTATGATAACTGCTGCTGACTACAAGATGTGTTGCTCTGTGAACAAACTTCTGCAGTGGTGTCAAACTGGCACTTCTGAAACACTGTCCACATTTAATTTTTTTTTTTTAAGTTGAGAGTTACATTTTAGCGGTTTATGGGAATCTGAAACCACAACTTAAGGTAATAGTCAGTGAGGGCTACAGAAATAATAAAGGCAGTAAAGTATCAAACTGCCCTAGAAAAAATGTAAGCTACTGAAAGAGGAGGGGAAACAGAAATCAGGTGGAAAGAGATCCCAAAGGTGGGTTATTCTCAACTCCTTCTATGTAGCGTTCATGCAACTTGCAGCTCAACCGAAGTCAGAGAGCAACAAGCTTAGTCTACTCAAATGGCTACTCTATTACCTTTTGCAGTGAGACATTACTGATTGAACAATTAAAATGCAGGCCTCTAAGCATGTGTTGCTTTCCAAGGTACACCGAGTTCCTCATCGTGTTGCTTTTGCCTCAGATTCAAATGTACCAGTGTCTACCCAAGTCTTACGAAGAGCCCAGTCTTGCAAGCCCTATTCTCAAAAGTTCCCCTGACTCAGGAAAGTAGTTTCAAGCACCTCATAACCCGATTCTCCACACACCACAAACTACAAAGGAGTCACACTTGCCATGCTACACTTATGGCATAGCGTGGAAATAACGACAGATCAAAGACCATTTCCCAGCTGTAATAGATTTTCCTTTTGCTCCAGTCAGCTCATTTTAACAGCCTCATTATTTTGTTACAGTTCTTCTTCAGTACAGAATATTTACAAGCGTTTTACTGGACTAAATACTGGATACATTTCTTGCAGTCTGATTCAGAAGACAATGATATGACACCAATGTTGCATTTCTTGTTAGAGGGGAAAAAAATCTAGAGGGGGAAAAATCCATAGAGGTTTCTGCAAACCTAAAATAGAGAAACATCTGCTAAAGTTTAGGAACAGCTGGCTAGTGATAAGGTCCAATAGTGAAGAAGGCAGTAGTTAAATCTCTTTCTGCAAACAATAAAAATTGTATGAAAATTTTATGGAACAGGGAGAAGTACTTGCTCAGGTTCAAAGCTACTTTTACAGGGAGCACTGACAACTTTTGATCATTAAAGCTCCTAAAGATCTTTTATTGAAGTGTGAGGGGGGGTTAGATGGGTGTCTCTGCCAAACTGCTCATCTAAAGCAGTCTCAGTTGTCCTCCCCAGACTTGAGGTATGCTGTCCTGTTACATTCTTGGTAGCTCTTCTGCCAGCCTAGAAGCACCTACACCTCTCATTGACAAGCAAGATGCCCCCTGTCTAGAGGTAATACTAGGGTATCATCCATTGATTGATCTTAAGTTCAGGGTTAACAATAGCTTCTGTAATAGTAGACTTGCATTATTAACCCCTATATCATTGAATGATGGAACATCAATTCCCCAAATCTCATTAAGTAGCAAATAATCCTCATCTTCACATTTCAACCCTCCTATTCTAGCATTAAAATCTCCTACTAATATCAATTTGTCCATAGGATATTCTAATTTTATAGATTCTAAATGCTCAATGAGCAAATCCCATTTATCACTAGCTCTTTTCTCAAAGCCAGGGACATGTATATAATTTGCAAGCCTCCTGTATTAAGTGTATTCAACCTTCTGCCTGAAGGATTTTATAATGTTGGACAAACCCCATTACACTTTTATAAAACTTTTACTGTGTATAGCTACAATACTTTGCTATCCAAAAACTAGCTATTCAAAAGTGGTGCCACACAAACTAACACAAGTCATACTATTGTTTTGGCCTTGTTATCCTGAGGCTCTTTATTACTCATCTAATGTCTTCAGCTTTTAATGCAAGGGCCAGTCAAATCCACATTTGCATGTTCTACATTCTCCCAATATTTGCCTGTATCCTTGGCCATATATGTATTATGAATGGTATTGTTGTTGAAAAGGATGCAAACTGCTCAGATGGAAAAGTTCCACTGATTCGCATGTCCTACAGCAATCCAAGCAAGCCAAAAATAAAGATAAAAGTAAGGAACACCAAGAGGTGCCTTTGAAGCATGACACTTAAATCTGCACATCCAGTTATTGAAAGGGCAAGTATGTAATGCACGTGAAAAAGAATTTCACTTCATTGCCCAGTTTATGTCAAGTAATATAGAACGGTGTATATTTAAAAAGAGAAAGAGTAATATAAAATATATATATACATGCACCGTGTGTCCAAATTAACATTGCTTAAACTAATTTACCATACAGCACTGTCCCTAAGTTGATTTGACAACTTCACTAAATTCTCTCTCTGAAGGCATTATTATCACTTACATCACATCCACACTGCATTTTGAAAATATATAAGTTGGTGTAAATATATGTAAAGTATTATTTATAGATCTTTCTATTGAATGTTTGAGAAGTACTAAAAACAGTATATTACTGCAAACTTAATCTTTTTTTCGGGGGGGGGGAGGGGAGGGGGCGAGATAAACGTTTAGATGTGTGCTGCCCTAGGATTCTTGAATTCAGAGCCATGCACATCAAAATTTAGAGAGAACTGGGCAGCAAGTCTCTGATGAAATTGAGAATGTGAATTATAAAAATGGGCTGCTGATATGAATGGAAATACTCCTAGCGACCTCAGAACAAACTCGAGGTACAGAGCGAACTTTCTTGAGTAAGGGTAACCTTGTTACTGCCAACAAGAACTGCATTTCCACCCAGAGGTGACTGCAGTTCGGTGATCAATTAAATCATCACAGCACTTAAGTCTACTGAATACTGAACAACCCCATCTGTCTTCCATTCTTCTTTGATTTTATATCTAAGCCACTTTCAACATTAAGAAATGGTTAGGCTGCCTTCCTAGATTTCAGAGGAAGTCCACCCCAAGGGTTTATTGCATTCTAGAAAAAGACATTTGCAATTTGACCTCCACAGAAAAAGTTGGGTTTTTTTCTAGGGAATCTCCACCAAAAAAATAGCTCAAGTTCTAACACTAAAAGCAGGCAACCATTACAAATTCTTCAACCGGATCTTCAACACCCCCCCCCCCCCCCCGCACTCTGCCCCCATGTCCCCCCCGGCTCAGCAATTGACCACAGAGGGACCCCAGGTGCCCCCCCAGACCCAGGAGGCACAAGCCTCCAAGCCAGGGGGACACGGCGGACCCAGAAGTGGACTGGAAGTCCTTCTGGTCCACTTCTGGGTCTGCTGCCGAGCGTGCTGGGGAGCCCCCCATGCTTCTGTCGGACACTCCATCTGCCCCAGCACCGCAGCGTTCACAAGCTGCCTGCTACCTAGAGGCATGTAGAAAAAACATTTAAAGCTGTATATGTCCAAATCTCCAAATCTTTCCGAATCAATTTGGAGAGATTAAAGGATCCTCCGATTCAATTCAGATTCGGAGATTTGGCCACTGAATTGGGCCAAATCTCCGCCAAATCAAATCAGGAACTGAAGCTTCGCACAGTCCTACTCGTAACCTTTCAATACACTTATTTTTGGATCATACCTATGAGATAAGCAAGTCCCATTACCTCCATTTACAGATGGGGAAAAAAAAGACAGAGGTAAAAAAGGGACTTAACCAAGATGACACGATAAATCTGTGTGGAAGCAGACCCTCGAACTGGGATGTTCCAAATCCTATGCGTTTTCATCACTGCAAATTAAATTCAACAAGGAGGCAGGACTCCAAAGTAACTTAACTGAGGTCCAACTGTTTGACATCATTAATAATCACCCCCAATTCCAAACTTTGGCAGCGATCTAAACTGTTCCGACTACTCGTGAGCAATCCCATAGAATATCGCAGTAGAAGAGGAACTAATGGAATAACTGAAAATCTAATCCCTTAGGGAAATGAACCATTACATTCTACTCTCTGCACTATGAACCAAGCCAAGAAACATATTCTGCTTGAAAGGAAACATGGGACACAAAACTGAGCCTTTGGAGACTCTGATTACACATCGCACTCTGCCTATGTGACTTTTTATATGGCTTATGGAAAAAAGTCGGTCTCTTGGTGCCTCGGTACCCTTTGGTAAAATGGGATTGGCTGTGTTCCCATTGAGGTTAGATGCATTAAAGACTGAGAAGTGGTCGGATACTATGGTGATGGAGGTCACACCAATATCCTTGACAGATAGGTAAGGAAATAAAGTTACATTCCACATACATAAGATATGTTCCTTAGTTTTGTCCAATACATACTAGGTAATTCACTGCAGCTGTTTCCACAGATTGTTTTTCTTCTTGTATTTAGATGACTGAGAAGAAACCTTCTGCATTTAATCAGACAGAGCTTGCTGCAGATATTTGCTAAGCTAGCTTCTCAGCTGGCCTTGGTTTTTGCTGGGGGGCAGCTGAGTGAGCCTGCCTGTTTTGCCTACTCCGAGGATTCAAAAATCCTGAGTCTTCTTCCCCTCTCCTGTTCCAGCAAATCACAGGATTTTGGAAAATGGCTTGGGGTGCTTTTTTATCTACCTTTGGTATGTTGGGCTGCTAGGGTACACCCTTTCTCTGAAATAATGACATCCACAAACTTTCTCTTCTTCTTTATTGAAAGCTGAGATTCTTGCATACTCATACTAATCCCAAAGATGGATATTTAAGAGAAAAATGCCAAATGCAGTGAACCGTGTGATGAAATCACAAGAGTGGCAAACTGAGAAGAGTCCGTTGTAGATCCATAATTCAGGGGCCAATTCCACATAAGCCATGACCTTGGCATAGTTTATAGATGCCACAGGTCTACTTTAATGAGTGCTGGCTGGTTTTCCCCTATTCCTCCAGCCACAGAAAACAGCCAAGGCCCAAATGAACATGCAGCTGATCAGAGCATGTTCATCAAAAGTTCATTTAATCAGAATATAGTGTTTCACCAAAGTCAAAATGTTCTGTGGAGATGTATTACCATCAAGAGATTTTTTTCATAACCATGTATTTTGGGTTACAAGGTCCTCTGGTCATTTGGGAGCAATAGGACAAGACCTATTAGGACCTTGCAATGTTCAATCCCAAAGCTACTATTTCTAACAGGTTGGGGGGGGGGGGGTTCCAATGAAGAACCAAATGCAGTTTGAAATTTCAGAAGTTGCTGCAAAACAGAACTGTCACCCTTCAGACAGCCCATGTCTCTCGAACTACACCCTTCCTACCCTGCCACACTTCCTATACTGAAGCCCATACAAGCAAGTTACACCCCAGTCATCTCACCTGGGATTCCCCCATGCTGGCTCATCAATCCTCAACTGGGAAAACCTGAGCAGTTTCTGGCCTCTTTGCAATAATGCAAAGCGGATAGAGGTGGAGGGGGAAAAAAAAAAACCCAAACAAAACCCCCCTTTCCCTTCGGCCTCTCCGGTTAACTGAAACAA